AAGATCGTATTAATTTATTTTGCGAATAGCAAATGTGTCACAACAAATAAAACAACAAAATTGAACACAGAGAAATTCAATGTTCACTAAAACTAAACGAAGACTCTACTCGATACAAAAAGAATTGGTATTTAAAATTTTCGCTAAATTACCGTGACTTTTTCAGTGGAGCAAATAAAAAACCAACGACACTCCCCCAAACAAATTTTCCAAGTATTCGCCTTGAAATTATACGCACCGCTGATATCCCCGAAGCAGGTCCGTGAATTACACGCGGCGCAGCCCCAGCAGTGCGATCAAACGAACGAATTCGGCGACATTAATCACGGTTATTAGTCGTGTAGCTTTCCTACGTTTAATTCACAGGGTGAATGGACACGCGTAGCGCGCCATAATTCACGAGTACACGAACGGGGGTGACGCATAATCGACGCAGAAGTACCGTGCTCACCGCTATTAACAACGCTGGTTCGACGCGTAAATTCGTGCGGCCGCTCCCGAAACCGTACCGCCTCGACCTCGAAAACTCGTAAATCCCCGGACCAGGGAAAAAGCTTCTCCGTAGGGGAGAAGTCGCCTTCCGGCCCGTGGCAACGAAGAGAGAAGCCACGGCGACGAGAGGGAACAACGTTTCCCGAATGAGAATCGCGTTCCTTCGGCCCTTTCAACGCCACCAGACAGACCGCCTTGGCCCTGCGAGACTATCAAATTTCCAGAAGGCAAATAAAGATGAAAGTTTCGGCGTAATAAAACCGAACGAGAAGTAGTAGAGAAGCGGGATAGATAGAAAAAGAAAGAGGGGACAAAAGAACGAGAGAAAGAAAAGAAAAAAAATTAAATCGGCCGCGAGCCGTAAGAAGAAACGGCTCCTCAAAAGGGAACTACAAAGAACTTGGGGTTCCACGAAAAGTCGCGTGCAAAACAAACCAGGTGAGGGTGCGCAGAGGTACAGCGTGGAAAGGAAAATAGGAAGAAAGAGTGAAAAAAGGGAGAAAAATGAAGAAAACGAGGCGCAGAGGGAGAAAG